TTTCTTTACTAAGACCAATAATGAAGGCCTATTCACTAAACTTACATTGATACAAGGATATTACATAACACTCACCTGCCGTCTGTATCTTTGCCGGTCTTTTTGTATTTCTTTATCAATTTGTTGTGATCTTGTGTGCTGCTCTATCTGTAAAAGCAAAGATAACACAGCTTATCTTATGATATACAAAATAAAAAAATTAGAATCTTGGTTGGATTGTAATAAGGAATAAGTTTGGATCTGCTTGAGCCTTTTCATTATAGTATAAGGCCCATGGTTTACACTAATCATTATGTATAATCTAAGCATACATTGAGTCATGTATATAATGGTTTAAATAAAATGGTACAACCAACAAAACTGAAATTTAATCCTCTAAACTGTGAGCCTCTTCTGCAGTAGAACACAAGACTGCTATACGCCTCTTTTTCTCAAAGTTTACACATATAAGTTTAGACTTATTTAAAACTGGGTTTATTTTCTGTTGGTACCTATTATCTCACATCTGTCAGTGTCTTTTTTCAGTATACAGTACTGCTGTCATCTATATTAAGTCAGTCTTAATTGAACAGACATCATGTTTATAGAAAAAAAAAAAACTGAAATAATTTATTTAAGGTGATAATATTTTGCAAGGGACAAATAACTAAAACATCAAAATGACCTGCTAGTACTACTAATACACCCATTTTTGCTGTACTGCTACTACTACTATTATTGCTACTGATAGTACCACTACTGTTACTACTATTACTAATATACTACTACTATTATTACTAACAATAACAAAATAATAATAACAAAGACAATAATATTAATAATTGTTGTTAGCAGTAAAATAATTAAGGAAAAAAATCATGCCCAAACATGCATGCAAACAGGCATACAACAGCCTACAACAATCAAACAAAAAACAAACACACACACACACACAATCTCTTATTCCTGAATCTTGCCATGTGAATATCAATGCAAAAAAATTGTGTAAACTTGTGTAAACAAATCTCAGAAATTGACAAAAAAATGAACCTGATTAAAATAATCAATATCAAATAAGAAACTGAAACACAGGAGACATGTAGAAAACTGAAAAAGGGAGTATAACAATGGGAGTCAAGTATAAAACGGTAAGACATTTGACTTACAAAGTCTTATAACATACATCCATTTTGAAGCAAGATTATTTTCTCTCTTACAAGTCCACCTACAAGCTCTCACTATTTTTTATATTCAAATGGTTTACTGTACACCTTACATCCCCTGAAATCCAGCTTTTCAGCTTATAGGCCATAGGTATAACTTTTAGAGACAGTAACAAGGGAAATCACATATTCCTAGCTAATTCACAATGCAAGAACTGCTTTCTCTCAAAAATATAAGATTACTGATGATTTACACATAAAGATTATCTCACTCATCACTTTAAAACTTTGAATAAAGAACTAATAAAAAGGATGATAAAACTTAAACTTGGTAAGAAAATAATATTGCACATAAATGATAGTAAAATTTACATTTGGTCAAATCTTTATAATATGCAAGCCAATTTTTGGAAATATCTAAGGCTCCAATGTTTTTATTCTAAGATGGTTACTCATCATTTCATCACTTTCTGTCCCCCCTAACCCGTTAGAATTACAAAACAGTAAATTCATCACCTAACCAGGGGGTTCCACTCTCTAAAGCTACTATAATTTGTGTACTATTTTTTCTGCTGGACCCCCTAGCCAGGAGACTATACAACTGCACCCCCTGTGGTTTGTATGTCAGCCTTTTTATTAACTAACCCCCTGATCCTTTCTATATCTGATTCAGTTGACTGTCTGGAATAAAACCAGACAATCATGAAGAAATATAAACAACACTACTTTAGAGAAGACTTGAAGATACTGATATGTAAATTAGTCTATACAATGGATGTATATCAATCATTCAGATATTGAGAGTAACCACAGTGAATTAAGCAATTGCCCAAGGAAAGGTTAACATACCTTCCCCACTTATTTTAGTTCCTATATAAGGAATCAGTCCAAGCTCCCTCTAACCAGGATAAACATGACGTTTCCAGGAGTGTAAAGTGCTGAGACTAAAGCAGTTGCATGGTGCAGACCTACTCTGGACAATTTCCCAATTTTACCTATTGTATTCCATATATCTCAATAAAAGACTCCACCAAGGTGATACCAATTAACATTATTCAGGCGGATGCTTCTTCTATTGGCCCTAAATTCTTTTGTACTCTGCCAATCAACTGGTTCTGGAGTTGACCTCTACTGGCTAGAAAGGAGCTAATTTCCATTTTTATAGCAACTTATAAAGTATCCCATTAAAAATTGAAGAAAATGGAATGAGAAGCATAAATCCAACCCCACTGTTCTAACTCTACAGATTATACTATGTTCTTCAAAAATAAACGTTTAATCTATTGGCACCAGGTCCTCATGGAGTCAATTAGTACGCCAAACATGGCCTCCCAAAACATTCCCATTACTTGAATTTTTGTGATTCTTTTTTTTTTTTCTCTAATGCTGTTACTATGGAATCTTTCCAAAAATCAAAGAAAATGGTAAACGGCTTTGATAGTTAAGACTAATAATTGACTTCTAGGTGACTCTGTTCTTGTTAACAAATTTAATAAACTATATCACAATATATGTACATACTGGCATTAACAAGTTAATATCAAATAAAGAACTTGTAAGCAAAAAGACAGATGAGCATAATAATATATAATAATAATATGCAATTTCACGCTTGACAATAGTAAATTACAAGGGCAGTTGATTACTAACAACAGTCGTGTCAAGGTTGTTGAGAAATTGGAAAAACATACATACTGCTTCACTGCCAATATGTGGCTGCATATTATTCAATAATTTTAAACAAATATCACCCATATTACATCACTTCGACACTATGTATGAACATTCAGCAGATGAGTCTTGAAGATGAACAGTGAATTATGATCCGTTTCTTTGACTAGTCATATAGAACCATTTTTAAAATAATTTTCATGAAAGACATGTCTACTGTTATGGTATAATTTTAACGGCTTGCTACTCATCTAAATTTTAGCATTAACTCACTACTAGATAAGTTATATTCCACTCTTTTCTGATACAACCAATTTGATCACTAACATTTCCACATACATCTCATATTTCTCTCACAGTCCAACAGTTCACAGGCACAAGATCCATCAAGACTTGCTTATATTATTCCATAGAAATGAACACACCAAAAACACTGGCAAATTCACTTCCCACAGTTCTCAGTGTCAGTTGAAAGCCACTATAATTGTTCTGAACATTTCACTAAAACACCATATTCCACACATAACTGATCACCATGACACTATATTTCACAACTGACATTTCACCATACCACCATATTTCATACCTGACATTTCACCATAACACCATATTCCACACCTGACATTCCCAGTAAACATTTTCCTGGACAAGTTCTCGGGAATTCCAGCTATATGTCCGGCTCTATAATTGTTCGGAATATGTCATGCACTGCCCTATATAGCCATGCAACGATAAAATAATTCATGACAAAATCTCGGCCTGTGGACACCTCGTCTTGAAACTCTCTCACTCGCTCGGAACGACCACTTCCTCTCGCCAGATATCACCCTTTCTCTCCCTTTACTCACCCTTCTCCCTTGTCACAGGCAAGAAAAGGGTGCTAAAAACACTGGCTAGACCACCGTCACACTCCCCTTACCTCTTCTGGTGTCCATAGAGCTCTCAGACAACAGGCGCAGCTGAAGATGGTCACCCGCGCCATGTTCCCACCAACAACACAAACATTGGCCAGCGAGGAACGGGAACGGAGGGGCTGGCGGAGGAGGAACCACAAGCAGGAACCACAGCGGAGGAGGAACCAGGGCGGAGGAGGAACCAGAGGGAGGAACCACGGTGGAGGAGGAACCAGAGGGAGGAATCAGAAGGAGGAGGAACCAGAGGAAGGAACCGGGTGGAGGAGGAACCAGAGGAAGGAACCGGGTGGAAGAGGAACCAAAGGGAGGAACCGGGTGGAGGAGGATCCAGGGGGAGGAATTAGAAGGAGGAGGAACCAGAGGGAGGAACCGGGTGGAGGAGGAGCTAGGGGGAGGAATCAGAAGGAGGAGGAACCAGAGGAAGGATCCAGGGCGGAGGTGAGAAACCTCGCTCTTTTTAATTTACTCTGGTACCTCTCCTTTTGCTTTTCCCCTTTTGTGGGTGCGATGAAGGTCTCACAGTGATGACTGCAGGTCCTTTTTGGTTTTATTTCTGTCACTTGAAGATTTTGGCGAGGGAGCGGAGGAACCTCACTCTTTTTTATTTATTCATTTTTTATTTATTATTATTATTATCATTATTATTATTTTCGTATCTGCTGAAGCTCCCTCCGTGATGCTTGCAGGTCGTTTAATATTTTCCTGATCTCACTAAAGGAGCGGAGAAATCTCGCTCTTTTTATTATTAGTTCCGCCTCTTTTTGTAAAAGCGATGAAGATCCACTCAAATGCTTGCAGAGCGTTGATTGTCTAGCTTTTACTACAGGATGTATTTTTTGTCTTTTTATTGGTGAAGGGAAAGTGTTCTTAGAGGTTGTGACGTGTTTTAGTTTAACGTGGAGTGATTTAGGAATGTCTAGGATGTGAAAGTTTGCGCGAACTTTCTTCCTGTCACCAAGCACTAATAATCCTTGGTTAAAACAATATTATCCTGCCTCTGGGTTAACAATACTTGACACATGTTTAAGTCTGAATTTCGTCTTGATATCACCATTTCTCGGAAGTAGCGGTAAGAAACAGCTAATGACGTCACCCTTCGCTCATAACCGCAGAGCTGCTTTCTCTTTTCGCACAGTGCACTAAGGAGCGGTGGTCAGCAAGTAAGGCTAACAATCACACGGCTCTTTTACTTCACAAGATAATAAAATAGAACACATGTTTCCTTCTGTATAGTATCAGAGACACGGAACACGGAAGAAAGTTCACGCCGGTATTTCCTCGCCGCTGAGTGAATCACTCAAGCTAACCTTACCCAAGGGTACGGGGTTGCCGCCGGGTGATATGCACCGCAAGTTGCTCAGAAGGTGTTGCGCCTGAGATTTGTCCATGGATGTAAAGGAATACACAAACTTCCTTTATTTTTCAAGCTAAAATCATCGTTGTTAGTTATCGAAAAGCATGTGTCAGGATTTACGATAAATCCGTCTTGTATAAAACAAAAGTTAAATTTCTGCAAAGGGCATCATACGCCGCGCCGCGCCGGTAGTTGAGAATGTGAATGTAATGTTGATTGGCCAGTCACATCTGGCCTGTAGAGAGCATACTTCATTCAAAAAGCATGCGTTTGAGTATTGCTATCGAATACTCATGCTTTCCTTGCAATGTTTAAAACGCGACACGGGGCTGGGCGCAGTAGATGACTCAGTGACCTATAATGATTTAAAGACATTACATTGTGGATAATGTTTATAGAACTTTAAAGGGCGCGTGTTGTAATGTAGTCAGGTACAGCTTAGCCTTCATGTGGGTCCCTCAGAAATTGTCATAGTCACGCTTCTAGTATTTTGTATTCCCTGCATAAATACACGCGATGAAAAAAAAAACATTATTAATGTCGTTAAAATATAACTGAAGACTAGAAACCACTAAACCCGCTTCCAAGTTTACAAATTCGAATAAATACAGACATGATGATCACTTGCATCCAGTGTCCAAAAACAAACTTCGTGAATATGCAAAAATAAACGCATGCTTGAACTGGCCATGAGCATTTACTAACAAATCTTTTTACAGCTTACCTCAGGGAATATAAAATAATACGCACTAAAAATATTAGGATATATATTTCTCGGAATGTGCAAGAATATTTGTTAAAAAAAAAGATCCATTTACATACATATCTGTAACCACAAACTAAGAAAAACAAATAAAACACCAATATCTTCATTAAGAGTGATACTCTATCTACATTCTTTACCACCCACTCCTCTAGCGTCCATCAAAACACCAACTTTCAGATGCTGATATTGAAACAGTTTATTGTTCTTGATAAGAGATGGGTAATTAAAGACAAGGGCTGAGTTTAGTGAGGGATTTATTTCAAAGAGCTCTTGTGCAAGTCATGAGAGAGACGTTTGAACACTCCACCTATCTGAGGTTAAGGAAAATGAAACAACTTTTCGAGTTAATGTGTTTGGAAAATTTTAGCCAATCATTGTATTTTTTTTAGTGTATTAATGCTGGTCTGGTAAAAATATTATTAGACTTCGTGAATTTTATAAAAGGACAATTATTGCTTCATTATTTGTCTGAAGTTTTTATTCTGAGACGAAAGTTTAGTCAAAATTATTCGATTTTACACACATACATACATACATACACATATATTTGTATGTATGTATGTATGTATGTGTTTATATACATACATATATGCATGCATATATATATATATATATATATATATATATATATATATATATATATATATATATATATATATATATATATATATATATATATATATATATATATATCAAATTAGGGTTGTTTTCACACAGTGGACTATTTCATGAGTAAATCTGTATTTAAAGCACAATAATGTATATTACACACACATATACATACATACATAATGTACACACATGTACATATAGTGCTTTATGATCATGGAGTAGATTTCTCACTCTACTGAAACGTTTCCATTCTAGCAACCTAGTATTGTTTCACTTATATATGATAAAAGTTGAGACGCAAATACTAATACTTTTTCTACAGATTAAATCAATATGTAGTATAAGTGCCCATGCAGCGTTATGTCCGGGCCGTAGTTGGCGAACAGGAAATAGACGGTTGAATAACAAAAAATAATGTACATTTCTTGTTATCTTTATTATCATTTTGTACTATACGTGATATATGTACAATACATTATCTATGAAATAATGATTACTAATGATTTGTTCTCAAAAATGTACATTACCTCTCCTAGACGGAAGCTGTGATATTTAATTCATATCATGACATTTAACCTACAGTCGTGAATATGGGATTAAACATGAAAAAGCTATGAGCCGTTGCTAAAGACTTACTCTCATTTTCATTTTTGTTATTGATTTAGTGATGTGGTTATCACTTTCCATTACGTCAACCAAATCGAGAGGCTTTTTTCATTACTACGGAATGTGAAGTTTACCAGAAAGAAACAGTCGTAACCTACTTGTTTATGAAATCACAAAAAGATAACATAAAATAAGTTCATAGTGACTGATCACCAAGAAAGCGAATCGGATTCTGCCCATGACAGCAGCACGTGCAGTCGTGCAGGCCGCCACTCGTTTCGGTTGAGGTACGAGAGTAGAAAAAAAAAGAAAAAAAAGAGAAGATTTAGATAATCTACCTGGTTTAAAAAGGTCCGTGTAGATCCATGAAATAAATGTGGATTCCGTCACAAGGGTGGTAAGCTCATATACATTACCCGCAGGAAGTAAGGCTGG